TGCCCCAATAATAAACAAAATCTTTAAAAAATAAAATAAAATACTAAAAACCTAGAACAGAAAAGGCAAGAGATAAAGCAATCACAAAGATCAACTGGGGAAGCAATGGGTTTCAGCAATAGAGGACTGGGGCTTTGCTTATTTTGAACATTTTGTCCCTAATAAAAAAAGGCAGTCAAAGATTACTTATTTGAGAAAGAGAGAGAGAGAGTGAGTGTGCATCCGTGCAGGGGTGGGGAGGGACAGAGGGAGAGGGCAAGAAACTCTCAAGCAGACTCCTCGCTAAGTGTGAACCCAAGGTGGGGCTCAGTCTCACAACCCTGAGATCATGATTTGAACCAAACCAAGAGTCAGAGGCTTAAACAACTGTGCCACCCAGGCGCCCTGATAATTTTTTAAAAAGATTTTATTTATCTATTTATTTGAGAGATAGAGAGAGGGTACGAGCAGGAGGGAGGGTCAGAGGGAGAAGGAGAAGCAGACTCCCGGCTGAACAGGGATGCCGATTAGGGACTCGATCCCAAGACCCTGGGATCCTGACCCGAGCAGAAGGCAGATGCTTAACCGACTGAGCCACACAGGCACCCAACTTTTGTCTTGTTTATAGATAAAAAAGTAGTAAAATATACATAACATAAACTTTACTCTCAATTCTATTCTGTTGGTCAATGTGTCTGTGCAGAGGCCAGCACCACACTGTTTTAATCACATAGCTTTATAGTAAATTTTCAAATCAGGAAATGTGAGTCCTCATATTCATTCTTTTTTTTTTCAAAATTGTATTGGCTATTTGGGGGTCCCTTGAGATTCAATATGAATTTTAGGATGGATTTTTCTATCTCTGCAAAAAAAGTGATTGGGATTTTAGTGTGGATTGCATTGAATTTGTCGACTGATTGCTTTGGGTAGTTTTTGACATCTTAATAATATTAAGTCAGGCACCCAGGGAATAGGAGAAAATATTTGTAAATCATATATCTGATGTGGGGTTAATGGCCACAATATATAAAGAATTCCTATAGCTCAACAACACAAAACACAAACAACCCAATTAAAAGAAGGCAGGGGGTGCAAAAGACTTGAATAGACATTTTTTTTTAAGATTTTATTTATTTATCTGACAGAGAGAGGGATAGAGAAAGAGAGAGCCCAAGCAGGGGGAGTGGCAGGCAGAGGGAGAGGGAGAAGCAGGCTCCCCGCCAAGCAAGGAGCCTGATTCAGGACTCGATCTCAGGACCCTGGGATCATGACCTGAGCTGAAGGTAGATGCTTCACCACCTGAGCCACCCAGGCGCCCCTTGAATAGACATTTCTGCAAAGAAGATATACACATGGCCAATAATTGCATGAAGAAATGAGCATCCTGAGCATGATTTCTTAGGAAATGCAAATCAAAACTCCAATGAGATATTAATGGCTTCACACCCATTAGGATGGCTACTGTTAAAACAAAACAAAACAAAAAATCAGAAAGTAACAAGTGTTGTTGGGAGAGTGGAGAAATCGGAACTCTTGTGTACTATTGGCAGGAACAGAAAATGCACCAGCCACAGTACAAAACAGTATGGCAGTTCCTTAAAAAGTTAAACATAGAACTACCACATGACCCAGCAATTCCACTTCTGGGTATTTACCCAAAAGAGCCAAAAGAGTTGAAAGCATATTCTCAAAGAGCTATTTGTACACCCAGCGTTCATAGCAGAATTATTCAGAATGGTCAAGGGGTGGAAGCATCCATCGACGGTTGAGTGGATAAACAAAACGTGGCCCATCCATAAGACAGAAGATGATGCAGCCTGAAAAACGAAGGACATTCTGACACCTGCTACAACGTGGAGGACATCATGCTCATCAAAATAAGCCAGACTCAAAAGGACAAACACTGTATGAATCCACTCCCAGGAGGTCCCCAGAGGAGTCCCGTCCACACAGACAGAGAGGAGAGGGTGGGAGCCGGGGCTGGGCAGCGGGTGGGGAGTCTGTGCTTCGTGGGGACAGAGTCTCCGTGTGGGGAGATGGAAAGTTCTGGAGACGGAGGGTGGGGGTGGCTACAGGACGGTGTGAGTGTGCCTCATGCCGCTGAGCTGTGCACTTTAAAATGGTTAAGATGGTACAGTTTTTAAAGATTTATTTTATTTTAGAGAGAGAGAGAGAGTGAGAGAGCGAGTGGGGATAGGGGCAGAGTGAGAGAATCCCCAAGCAGGTGCCCCGCTGAGTGTGGAGCCTGCCGTGAGGCTCAATCCCACAATCCAGGAGACCATGACCTGAACCAAAATCAAGAGTCAGACGTCTAACCGACTGAGCCACCCAAGTGCCCCTCAGATGGTACATTTTATGCTTTGTGTATTTTATCACAATTGGAAATTAAGAAAGAAAACAGAATGGAAGGAGAGAGAGGGAGGGAGGGAGGAAGAGCCAAATCTAGCCTCACAACTGTTTTTGTATAGCCCTTGAGCTAAAGATGTTTTGTCTTTTATTTTTTATTTAAGATTTTTTTTTTTTAAGATTTTATTATTTGTCAGAGAGAGAGAGAGCACAAGCAGGGGGAGCGGCAGGCAGAGGGAGAGGGGGAAGCCGACTCCTCACTGAGCAGGGAGCCGGATGTGGGGCTGGATCCCAGGACCCTGAGGTCATGACCTGAGCCGAAGGCAGACGTTTAACCGACTGAGCCACCCAGGCGCCCCTAGAGATGTTTTATCTTTTAATGTTTAAACAAAACAGAAGAATATTTCATAACACATGACAAAGTTATAAGATACAGATACCAGTATTTATAAAGTTTTACTGGCACATAGCTCTGCCTGTTAGTTTGCATATAGTCCACAGCTCTGCCCCATGATGGCAAAGTTGAGCAGTTGCTAGAAACACTGTATGTGTCCTGCAAAGCCATAGATACTTCTTTTGGGGGGGGAATCTTTTTTAAGATTAATTTATTTTTCCTCTCTCGCTGTATCTCTCTGTCAGATAAATAAATAAAATCTTAAAAAAAAAATAAAACAGCCATAATATCACAATCGCACCTTAAATCATTAGAACCATGATAGTGGCAAGAATCTACATGTGTGATCAGATTTCACCACCACCAAAAAGTACATGTCAAAGCTGGAGAAATCGAAACATCTGTCCCTGAGTGGACTGTATTGTGCCAACATCACTTTTCTGGTTCTGACAACACACGGTGTTTATGGAAGACGTTATCATTGGGGGAAGCTGGGGGAAGGCCAGGTAAAACCCTGTGCTATCTTTGCGATTTCTTGCAAATCTGAAAACTGTTCGGAAAACTTAAAAATTGTAGTAACAATAAAACAAACCCTGTAGGGATGCCTGGCTGGCTGAGTCGGTGAAGCCTCTGCCTTTGGCTCACGTCATGATCCCAGGGTGCTGCGATCGAGTCCCCCATTGGGCTCCTTCCTCAGCCTGAGCCTGCTTCTCCCTCTGCCCGCCTCTCCCCCTGTTTGTGCTCTGACAAATAAATAAAATCTTATCTTAAAGAAAAAAAAAAACCCTGTAAAATTAGGGTTTGGGTGAGGTCAGTGAGGTCATGCGCAACTGCAGAGTTGGACTCTTAAAAATTCTGATATTTTCATCATCATTAATTTTTTCTATTGCATTCTTATTTTTCAAGATTTTATTTATTTATTTGACAGAGAGAGACACAGCAAGAGAGGGAACACAAGCAGAGGGAGTGGGAGAGGGAGAAGCAGGCTTCCCGTTGAGCAGGGAGCCCGATGCGGGGCTCGATCCCAGGACCCTGGGACCAGACCTGAGCCGAAGGCAGACGCTTAACGACTGAGCCACCCAGGCGCCCCTATTGCATTCTTTTTTTAAAAAATCACGCTAACAGGGGCGCCTGGATGGCTCAGTCGGTTCAGGGTATGCCTTCGGCTCAGGTCACGATCCCAGGCTTCTGGGATCGGGTCTGGCGTTGGGCTCTCTGCTGAGCAGAAGCTTGCTTCCCCCTCTCCCTGCCGCTCCCCCTGCTTGTGTTTTCTCTCTCTCTCTCTCTGTTAAATCAGTCAACATACTTTGAGCTATTTGGGGTGCTTCCTTAAATTTCTCTTAATTCCTGCCCTGAGAATCATGAGCTCAGCGCATGAGCCCTGGAACACACATTTTTTAAAATTTAAAAATAATAATTATTTCTAAAGTAAACTCGCCCCCCAACGTGCGGCTGCAACTCACAATCCCGACATCCAGAGTCGCACGCTCTCCCGACGGAGCCAGCCGGGCGCGCCTGGAACACACATTTTTGTCCTCTCGCCTCCCGCCTCTGACACAAGCAAGTTGGAGCTGCGCGGCCCGCGGGCGCTGGGGAGCCGACGAGGGCTCTAGAGCAGGGGAGGCTCCAGTTAGCACAGATTCCAAAGGTTACTGTGGGTGGGGAGGCGGGACCGGCAGAGGGTCGCCCGCAGGGGCGGGGCAGAGCGAGCCGCGGGAAGCTGCGGAGAAGGGCCTCCTTCCTCGGCCGGGGCCCCGCCGGGGGGCGCCGCGCCCGCTCGCCCTCTGCCGCGCCAGGACCCGGATGTGCAGCGCGCCGGGCCCGCCGGGGCTGCGCGGGGCTGGGCGGCTGGGCGCCCGGCTGCACGCGCTGGCCACCGCCGCGGTGGAGCACCCGTCCCCTCCCCCGACGCCGCCGGGCATCCGGGCGCGCACCTGGCTGGCCGCCCAGCGCGGGGACCGCAGCACCTGGCTGCATTGTTGTCACCGCCGCCCCCTCCCATCCTCCTTCCCTCCCCACACAGGACCCAGCACTCGCCCCCACCTGTGCGGGGCTCGTATTCCTTTAAGTAGCCAGACGCCGCGAGGGGTGGGCGTGGTGGCCGGGGGAGAAGTGGGGGGGGCGGTGTCGGGCCGTCCTGATTGGCCCGAGGCCCGGGCGGCGGTCGCATGCGCCTGCGCACTGCGCAGCAGCGCGCGCCGGGGGGGGTGGTGGGAGGGCGCGCGGGCGCTAATTGGCCGCCGCGGCGGCCCCGCCCGCGAGTGGCGGGCGGTCACGTGACGCGACGGCTGGGGGCTCCCGGCGCGGGGGACGCTGGTGGCCAAGATGGCGGCGGAGCTGGTGGAGGCCAAAGTGAGTGAGCGGCGGCGGCGCCGGCCCGGGCGGGCGGGAGAGTGGGCGGGGGCCGGGCGGCGGGCGGAGGTCTGCGCCTTCCGCTTGTGGCCCTACGGCGCGGCCAGCTCGCGGTTCGCCGCCCGGCCCCCTCGCCCGCCCCTGGCCCTGGCGCGCCGGGTGCGGGCGGGGGGCGGGGAGGCCGGGGGCGGGGCCCCCCAACCCTTCCCCAGCCTTCGCGCTGGGGGTTGGTTCTCGGGCTTGAGGCGGGGTTGCCCCCCCACAGCCCGAATGGTTAGGGTCCAGTCTCCTTAAGCACGGGGACAGGGCCGCGCCTCCCGGCTAGAGGCACAGTTCCCCCGGACAGCAAGACGGGCTGGGCTGTTCATCCCCTCCTCGTCCTGAGCCGGGGTCCTGCTCTTTGGCCTGGGGGAGAGTCTTCGCCTCCCCTGGCACCGAAGGCTGGCATCTGGGTCTTCAGCCTCCCCACCCAGCAGGCCAGCTGGGGTTGGCGACTCCCTGCTCTGAAGGGTCCGCTGACCCTTCTGCCACCGATTCCACCATCCAGGGTGATGAGCCAGGATCCTGAAGCATCCCCACAGTGTTTTCTTGGGGTTCGTACCCCGGGCTGGAGTTTGGACCCCTAGTTCAGCGCCCGCGTTGGTCCCAGAGCCCCGCCCCCCTCCTGACACCATCTCTCTCGCCTTCGGAGTGGGCACCGTGTCACTCGAGTTTGCTCTCCCACCTGGGATGGAGTCCTGACCCCTGTTCTCTGTTCAAATCTTTCCTAACTCTTTTCAGTCTTGGGTCCTGGGCTCTGCCTTCCTCCCACTTTTTATCCTCCGGACAGCATCTGTGAGGTTTTGGACTCTGCTCCTGGGGTCTCTAAACTTCACACTAGCAAGATCAGACCCCATACTAAGTTTCCCCTATACTCCCTAGTGAAGCTACTAAGGTCATACTTCCTCCATACAGCTCCCCAAACCCTACTTTAGATCCTTTTATGCACCCCAGCTCTGGCTTCTGAGGCTCCCCCTCTTTTTTTGCTGGTTTCTTGTGTTGATCCATGGAGAGTCCCCCACTTCTTTCTTCAGTGCCCTCAGTGCTTCTCCCTCATACTCCATTTTGGGGTTCAGGTTCCACATCCCATAGGTGCCAACCCTGTTCAGGGATGTACCTTCTTCCAGGTACCTCCCCAACGGTGAGGCTCCAGAGCCCTTGCCCTGAACTACGCTAGGGTTGTTCCTTTCCTCCCTGAGAAGTTTACTCGAGGTCTTTGGTGGCAGGGAGGTGGGGGACTGGACCTTTGCTGGACAGAGGCTCCTCCCCCTCCCTCCCCGCTCGTCTCCCCTCCCCAGGGTCCTGACCTGTAAATGTTTTCTTTCTCCTGTTCCTCTCTCTCCTTCCATCTCCCTTCCCTTCCTGCGGAGATCTGAAATGGAGCTCCCTTCCCCCTGGAGCGTCCCCCTCAATGCCTGTACTACACACTCTGCCCTTCTCTAGGGTTTTGAGAAATTGGGACTTCCCCTGGAGATGCAGAAGTCTGAACTCTGCAAGCCCAAGGTGGCGGTGGGTGGGCTCGAAGTCCCCTGGAGCCCTGAAATTCAGTGGTGCCATGGGGCTGTGTCACTCCGTGACTCTGGGCCCGGGCACCCACTCCCACCCCCACGCCCACCCGCACCAGAGGGTAGGGACTAAATTCTTTTATACCATCCAGGGCCTTGAAATATGATCTGATGAACTCTACTTGACCCTCTGGTGGCTGGGGCCCCCCACCCCAATTAAATCAACTTGACCCTTTTTTCAAGTTCTCTAGAATGTGAGCCTCCGTTCAGTGGCACAGCTTGCTCTGAGCCTCGGGAGCCTTTCTTCTTTAGTCTCTGGCTGTCACTGTGGAGTGTCGTACGTGTCATTGAAGTGTTCTCTTCTTTTAGGTGCTTACCTAACCTTTTGTATTAGGAGCTGGAGATTTCGTCTTTTGGGGTACAAAACTGGCTGCTCTGCAGGGAGAACAAAGGGGAGGTTGTTGGTAAACTTGGAAATCAGACTCTTCACCTGAGGCCCCGGAGAGGGCTTGGGGAAGGAGGTAGTCTGGGAACCCCTTGGGATGGTAGCATTTTGCACAGATCTCCCATTTCCTGGAGATAAGGACCTTCACTTTCCCCACGTTCAGAGGAACCTATACCCGAGACTGATTAAGTTAAGCCCAGCAGCTCTATCCAGGCTGATGTTTTTCCACGCAGCTCCAAACAAGCCCAGAGTTGAGACTGTGGAAGCCGTCGGGGCCTGGTGCTGTTTATAAACACAGATCTGAGGGGCAGGCGGGGTAGGATGAAGCCATGGCAGGAAGTGATTTGCAAAGCGCTTGGGGCTTCTTCCTGAATGTTTGTGCCCCTCTCACGCTGTCCCCCCTCCCAGTGTCAAGGGCGGGCTCCTTGGTGGTGGCAGCTGCTGAGAAATCCGAGTCGTGAACATATGGCAGCTTGAGGGATGTGCCCCAGGATGCTCGTGCGGCAGATCCGGGTGTCCAACCTGGTGAAAGGGCTAGGCCTCGGCGGGGGCAGGGTGCTCCCAGGGGCGGGGTGATGTTAGAAGATGTGTTATGGTCAGACTCGGCGTCCCAAGCCCACCTGCCTTTAGCTCCATGGAGGGCAGTCAGCTTTCACATGACATCGCTTCTCCCCTCCAAGGCCTTGGGCCTCTTCCAGAAGAAACATCTTGTCTGCAAGCCTATTTTCTCTGCTCAAGGTAGGAAGTCAGGCCAAGGAAGGTGAAGTCTTTGTTTTCATAAGCGTTCCGGGCTCTCTGAAGGCCAGCACACTGCTTCGGTCCCGAGGCAGGGGGTGTGCTGGGATGTGAGGGTCCCCAGGCCCCCAGATAGCTGGGTGGGAGTGGGAGGAAGTGCCCTTGGGACTCCGATGGACCCTGCCACTGCCACGTGGGAAGAGCCCTCATGCTTGGCATGCGGCGGACACTCCACGTCTGTGGTGCAGGAGCCGGAAAGGGCTCTCTCTTGAGATTCTGCAGGCAGGACAGGGCAGCTCCACACGTCTGTCTCGTCGTTTTGTGCCTCGACAGCCCCTCCCCGCCATCAGCTGGAGCCTGGTGTAAGGCTGGGAGTGATCCTAGCGGGTTCCCATCCCACGTAGCTAGATGAGGTGCCCAAGGTGCAGAGAGGCCTGACGGAGGACCCCCTGGGAACCCGGGGCTCCTGAGTCCCAGTGCTCCCATCGGTCTCCATGCCTCACCCTTCCACAGCCAGGGAACGGGAAACACCAGAGCCTTCTGGCATTGGGACCGCTACGTAAACACCCTGGCAGGATTCCCACCCACCTCCAGCTGTCAGACTCTCAAGTTGAATTTAAGGGCTTTACTGGTTTCCTTGGGTGCTGTCCTGCCCTGTGCCCGCCAGCTTTCGGTATACACCCTCGTCACTTGTACCTGTTTTCCCCATTCCCCTGGAAGTTTTTTTTTATCCACCACCTGTGTCATTCAACACAGGCCAGCTTTGGGGCTCAGTGTGAGTGGCCCTGAAACCCTGCTGGTGCATCCATCCTTCAAGGACGCTTTGCTCATGTAGCGTATGGGGAAGCGTCCCTCCGCTTGGGGTCCAGGGTCTCACAGAGGGCAGGCCATGGTCAGGCCGCCCCAAGGAAAACATCAGCTGAGCTCTCGTGTTTGGCTTGATTGAGTTGGAGGGACCCTGCCAGACCTCTTTCATCACTTCGCCACAGCTCACTTCACAGCCTCTGGGGCTGCCGGATTCCCAAAGCCTTCCCCTCAGACCCACAGTTCTCAATCCTATTCCCAGGGGGCACTTGGCAGTGTCTGGGGGACCTTTGTGATTGTCACCGCTGGGTTTTGGGGGGGCTCCTGGCATCGAGTGGGTGGAGGCCAGGGATGCTGCTGAGTACCCCACGGTGCTCAGGACAGCCCCACCCCAGAGAACAATGCAGCCCCAGCGTCCACGGTGTCGAGGTGGAGAGGGCCTGCTGGAATGATCAGCAGACATTTGATGCTCGCCTGTGCTCAGCTCCATGTGGACGCTTGTAGTGCGGTAGAGAGAAATTATCCCTGGCTTTAGAGTCAGGCCTAGGTTTGAATCTTGGCTATAACGTGGAGCTCCCCCCAGCCTGGCAGGGTTGTTTTAAGAATCAGAGTTAAGTATATGATTGCATGTGCAGCTCAGTTCCTGGCAGGTGATTAGTATTAAATCGTGGCTACCATCCTCCAGACTGAAGGGAAAACATGTTTGTGGCCAACGTTGATTTACTCTGCTTTCCGTATGTTACCTCATCTGGTCCTTCCCACATCCTTACAAAGTGGATCCTGTCATCCTGACGAAGAGACTGAGGGTCAGAGAGACCATTAGTGTTCTTGGCTAGGGAGTGGCTGAGGCTGTTTACGGGGAAAGCAAGATTCCCAGTTTCTGCCCTGGGGATGCTTTCAGGCTTGAAGATGGGAAAAGAGAACCTAAAATAGAAGGCAGTGGTGTGTGTTGGGGGGGCGGTCAGAAGCTTTTGCTGCGTTGGCAATGCCGAGGAAGGTTTGAGGAGAAGGAGGGGAGCCGGGCTGAGCTGGGAGGGGGCATCACAGGGAAGGGTGAGCAGGAAGCCTGAGCAAAGGCATGGAAGTGGGACTGAGCCTGGGCTAGTGGGCCTGGTGCCAAAGCTGCCGCCACCGCCTCCTCCTGCCAGCTAGAGTGAAGGGGACCTGGGGGCAGGGCGAGGCAGCACCTGGTGGGCTGTCACTTCGCTGTCCCCCAATTTAGGGCCCAGGTGGCTCCAGGAAGCCCCTTGCTGCATTGGCAGTCCCCGAATCTGGCCAGGTCTCATCTGAGCATGTGTGTCTGTTGTTGCTCTTCCCCAGAACATGGTGATGAGTTTCCGAGTCTCGGATCTTCAGATGCTCCTGGGTTTTGTCGGCCGGAGTAAGAGCGGACTTAAACACGAACTTGTCACCCGGGCCCTCCAGCTGGTCCAGTTTGACTGTAGCCCTGAGCTATTTAAGAAGATCAAGGAGCTGTACGAGACACGCTACGCCAAGAAGAGCTCAGAGCCTGTCCCCCAGCCCCACCGGCCCCTGGACCCTCTGACCATGCACTCAACCTACGACCGGGCTGGCACAGTGCCCAGGACTCCCCTCTCGGGCCCCAACATTGACTACCCCGTGTTGTACGGGAAGTACTTGAATGGACTTGGACGCTTGCCTGCCAAGACCCTCAAGCCAGAAGTGCGTCTGGTGAAGCTGCCCTTCTTTAACATGCTGGACGAGTTGCTGAAGCCCACAGAGCTGGGTGAGTCTGCCACCGCCCTGGGGGAGGGGTGTCCCACCTTCTGCATTCCCTCAGTGCCTGTGGCCAGTCACGTCACCGACCTGGAGTGTCTCTCGGGAAGCAGCGAGGGCCAGGGGGTCGTGGGGGGCTTTCCCTCCTAGGAAGGATAGAAGCATTCTCTGGATCTTTATATTAGTGATTTGTAGGGTTGTCTCACGAATAAGCCTGAATCGCAGCAGCTTAGCACAACAGGCACTTAGTTTGTGAGGGTGAGAACTTGGGAGTGGCTTAGCTGAGCGGTCCTGACGCACAGGCACTGGTGAGGTCTCCCATTAGGCTGTTGGCTGGGGGCTGTCTCATCTGAAGGCCCGACTAGGGCTGGGGGCCACCCACTCACATGGCTGCTGGCAGGTCTTGGTCTCTTGCTGCCTGTTGGCTTGAGACCCTGGTTCTTGGCATGCGGGCTCTGGAGACTGTTTAAGCGTCTTCACAGTGTGGAATGGTGGTTTGCTTCGTCCGGAACCAGTGATGGGGGTGGTGGGAGGGTTAGTGTGCGCACATATGTGAGTCTAGGGACAGCTAGAAGCCACGTCGTTTCTTTGACCTCCGCCTGGAAGTGACCTAATTTTGTGTTCCACATTCTGTCGGTCACACAGACCAACTCTGTACATTATGGGCCGGGACTGTTCCAGCCTGGACCATCAGGAGGCGTGCATCACTGGGGGCCTCCAGGGACGCTGCCTTCCATGTTCTGACTCCCTGTGGCAAAAGGGCTGGAAGTTGGATCTGACCTTCCTTCCTTCCTTCCTCCCACAAAAGGCTTGTTTCCTGGTAGGCAGCCTTGGGAGCAGCCTTGGCCAATGGGTTCAGGCCGATCACCACGGGCCAGCTGGTTAGGGAAGGCTGGCTGTGCTCCCAAGAGGTGGGACACCGCTAGGACTAGAGGAGACAATGCCAAGGCCTTGTGGTTCCTTTCTGCTCATTTCTCTGGCCCCCAGGTTGATGGTGCGCCGCGTGTGGACAGGTCCCTGGCCCCTCACTGGCAGCCGTGATGATGGGGCAGGGTGGGTGTCAGCCTGGTCTCAGCCTCACGTGCTCCCTCCAGCCACAGCTGCTGGTGCCTCCAGGGCTCCAGGTAGCAAGTCTAGTGTGACGGGCTTCTTGGCGCCCCTCGGATTTGACTGGCTGCCCACGTGGACCTGGAGGCCCCTCTGGTCGTCATTCTCACCTCTTCCGTCGTCTTCCCCTTGAGGGCCTGCCGTGTGGGTGCTCGTGGAATCCCACCCTGGGGAAGCAGCAGGGAACAAACAGAGCCCCCCACCCTTGTAAGGGTTCGCTCTGGCATTCCTTGTTTAGGGCCTAGAGGTGCCCCAAGCGCACGTCGGTACCGTGGGTCCAGCTGCCCCCCTGCAGCCCCTCACCCACATCTCCCTTTCAACCCCTGCATCTTTACCGAGCTCCTCCTGCACACCAGACTCCGGCCCTGGTTGTGAGTTGGTCTCTGCATGCCATGGCAGAGGTCACAGCCCCACCATGCCCCCGGTCGCCATGCCCCCTGCTGTGTGCTTCACTCCCTCCTGCCCTGCTGACTCAGCATCCTGTCTTGCTCAGCCAAGGGGGCCCCTCTGTGCACGGAGAGTTCCACACCAGCCCCGTGCCAGCGAGCCCACTCTGTCCAGCCCTAGCTGCGGGGAAACGGGGAGATGCAGCTGCCTCTTTTCCTCCTTCCTGTAGCCCTTGAGCTTCGTGAGGTTGGACAAGGCGGCTGTGGTTCCGGTGAAGCTGGAAGGAGTTGCTGCTGGTCCAGGCCCTGGAGTCCCAAGGCCCCATATCAACCCGAGTCTCTGCCCTCTCCTGCCTTCCCTCTGGCAGTGTTGGTCACCAGCCCCCGAGTGGGGAGTAAGTTGTCCTAACAGCACCTGTCGTGGGGTTAACATGGCACCATTGGAGACCCAAGGCCCTTTCCTCAGTTTCTCCAGGACAGCCCCCACCCCGCCCCAGCTCTGCTCCTCCCGACTTCCCTGTGTACATGTTGGAACCCATTCTCCCCCTACTCCCAGGGGTTCTCTGGCAGGCTCTGGAGGCCTGGGGACTGGCTGGCTCTGAAGGTTAGGCTGATGGTTCAGGTTCCTGAGGACTCAAGGGTGATGTTTGTAATAAGGAGGCTGGGTTTTCACTGGGAAGCAGTAAGTCGGGCTTGGCACTGGGCGGGGGACAGAGGTGACTTTGAACTCAAGGGCCAGCAGTCTCCCTCTCCTGCCTGGACCACGAGCTTCCTTCCTGCATGGCCCACTCCCACTCCTGCCCCACAATGCATCACTTTGCCCTGAGCCCCCCGGGGACCCCAGTCACCTGATCTCCGGGAGAGTCTGCTCCCCTGTCTGCACCAGGAATTACTCTGCTGGCAGCTCGGAACAAAGAGGCTGACCCCGCCCTGGCCTGGCTCCCACCTACTCCCCGCCCCTATCCTGAATGTACCCCTGTCTTGGGACTCCCATCCTCAGGGACCCTCCGGTGCCTGCTAGGTTCCTAGGGAGAGTCCTCGTCGAGCACAGGTCTGGTCCTGAGGGCGTCTGGCCCCCTCTATTCCGGGACCAGCAGTTTTGGCCCCCCGCTCCTCAACCTGGGGGCCTCCCTGTGGTGACTTCTACAGCGCTGGCATTGACCAAGAGCCACTTCACGGGGCTTGGGCTCAGCCAGCTTCCCCTTCCCCCTCGTTCCTGACCATGACCTGCTGACCAGAATGAGGTCCAAACACTCTGGTCTGTTTCCCCGGAAGAGCCGCCGGCCAGCTCCAGCTTCAGGATGGAGACTGCGCCGGGTGCAGAGGAGACATAAATCACAGGGAGTGGAATGTTTGGGTTGGGGGAGGGGAGGAGAATAATGGAGCTGGAAGGACCTTAGAAGACAGATGATCTGCTCCAGCCTGGCTGGCACCTAGAAAGGTCGGGAAACTGGTGCAAGGTCACACGGCATCCTGAGGAGGGGGCCCTGGGGCCGCAGGCTCAGCCATCTTCCTGACTCTGACCCCTCCCTGAGTCATCAGTGCCCTGCACTCCTGTGGGGAGATACCCATTTTGAAGCATGTGAAGGTCCTGGACCTCAGGCCTCTTCTTAGCTCAAAGAGCCTGGCTGTGCGACCCATCCCAGCCAGGAGAGGGGCACTTGCTTCCCAACCCCAGGAGAATCCAAGGGGGGCCAGGGAACACCGTCCTGGGCATGCCACTGCAGCTGGGGGCTCACTGGGCATCTGACAGCCACCCAGGGTGTGAGCGGCCGGAGTGTGACAGAGGAGGCCCCGAGCCCCATCAGGGTGCGTGGGAGAAAGGAGAGGCCATCATGAGACTTGCGGGCGGAAGGAAGGAAACACGACCTGATGCAGTGCTGCTCTGTGAGGCTCGCCATTGTCCTGTGGTTAGCGTCTTGGGCTGTGGGGCAGGGTCCCTGCTGCTGCGAAGTGAAGGAGCCACCCCATGTCATGACAACTCCGAAGGGTCTCCTGATTGTCTCCGTGCCCCGAAGGGTGGCCAGCACCAGTGCTGGCTGGGGGCTGCTGGTCCAGTGCCTGCCCCGTTGTGCAGGGCACACGTGTGTCCCTCCTCCGGCCTTTGGCTGGTATCACCGAAGCAGCAAGGGAGGTGTGGGGTCCCCCAGCTGGCGTGATTTGCCGGGAAGCTGCACTTGAGGTGAACGAACGGTACCGGGAGAGCAGTGCTCTGCTTGGGGAGTGCAGGCTTCCTAGGGGGCGGTCAGGGCCGCGAGCTCCTGCTGATGCATTCGTGGGGAGGTGGCAGGCAGGAGGCTTCCTGGAGGAGGCCACGTTCCAGACCTGAGGGGTGAGTAGCCATAAGCCTGACAGAGAGGAAGGAGCAGGGAAGTGTGTCCCAGGCCCAGGCCTGGCAGTGAGCGAGGGCTCGGGAACTGGAGCGAGGTGCGGCGTGAGAGGAGAGAGGGAGGGCGAGGCCGGAGAACACGAGATGGGTGGGCCGCGGGGCGAGTGGGGGCCGGCTGGACCGTCCCGAGGGCTTCGGGGTCGGCGAAGATCTGGTAAGCTTTCCTGGGGTCCTCTCTGAGGTGGGTGCTAGCTCCTGAGGTGCACAGAGGCAGAGCGGCCTGTGTGCCATCCAGGGGCCAGGCGGGGCTCACACGCAGGTGCATGCGCCCTCCCCGGGTCCTCGGGTCCATCCCGGGCCCTGGGAGCCGGAGTGGTCACGTGGCATCCCAGGTCCGGCCTCCCAGCTCCAGGGGCAGGTGGCCCAACCTGCTGGGCCGGCAGGGCTTCCCCCACCGCCCACCTGCCCAGCCGTCTCCCTGGTTTCTTCCCTCCACATTGCCAGTCTCCACCAGCAGCCGGAGGAAGTTTTTTAAAATAGCCGTCTGGTTCTGTCCTTCCTCTGTTCCAAACCCTCCCATGACGCCCTGACTTTTCTGCTTGGTTTCTTCCCTCCCCTCCTCTCCGCTCTCTCCCTTCCCCTCCCCTCACTGTTCCTCCAGAACACCAGGCCGTGGGGCGCCTGGGCGGCTCAGTCGGTTAAGCGTCTGCCTTCGGCTCAGGTCGTGATCCCAGGGTCCTGGGATCGAGCCCCGCATCGGGCTCCCTGCTCGGCGGGAAGCCTGCTTCTCCCTCTCCCACTCCCCCCGCTTGTGTTCCCTCTCTCTCTGTCAAATAAATAAAATCTTTAAAAAACAAAACAAAACAAAACACCAGGCCGTGTTGCCCTGGGGCCTTTGCACATGCTGCACCTTCTGTCCGTCACACTCGCTCGGACCACCACATGGCCCTTCCCTCCCGAGGCACCTAACCTGAAGCTCATTTTCCTTTCCTACTTGCCTTTGCCTTCTCGTCACCACCCTCTCCCCCTCCACGGCCTTGCCCCCAGCCCTGGCGTGGCTTATTCATTTGTAGGTGTTCTTCCTTAACATCTGGGCCTGGGACTGGTTCACTCCCTCACTGCATCCACAGTGCGGAGCGGGGCAGGAGGTGCCCAGTCTGGGAGCTGAGAAGCAGCCAGGGAGCTGCC